GATACTAGGAGTTTTGACTATAGTTTTTATGGGGTTTCGCAGAAAGGACGATAATGGGGGGGGGGTGGGGGGTGAGCTACATATTCAGTCAGGAGTTGCGCAGTACAAGAGCCACAATATTGGGCACTTTTTTGGGGACGTGGCTTAGGGTTTAGTGTTTAGTTGATAGAGGAATGTTGAAGGAGCTACGTTTTGTGGTTGTGGGTCAGAGCTTTCAATGCGTGTAGGGGTTGTCTCGAAGTCAAAGGCGCCATGGATGTTTGAGCGTCGGGGTTGCGTGGGTCGGGAGCTGGCCTGACCTTTGTCTTTAACATTTTTGTTGAAATGTCGTTTAGCAGTACTTGGATACTTTACTTGGAGGATCAGGAGCACTTAGTAAACTTGCAACTCTGACAAGCTATCTGGTACACTTGCTGGCTGCCCCTGAAAGAAGGCGCTGTGACCTTGGTGGCGCCGCAGGCAGCCCAGGCTGAGGCAGCTGGAAGCTTTATTCAGAAATTCTTGCACTTATCTCGGCTAGGGTTTAGGGAGTTTAGGGTTCAGGGTCTCGACTTGGGTTCCGGGTGTAGAGGTTGGGGGTTGGAGGATAGGATTTAGGATTCAGGCTTTGAAGGCATAAATTCCTGTATCACGCAGGCAAATTGTCCATGCAATACGTTGGGATTTCTGTGTGGGTCACTTCTGATACCTGCACGTCGGCATGACAATATATGGTCTGGAGAACTACCCCCCCCCCCCTCCCCCCAAACAAAGATGCCCCGCAAAGATTCTGGCTCCTGTAAAGGGTCCTACATGGGTTCTATGTTAGTTTGAGGGAGGGTATGAGGATCTTCTTGCTCACAGTGATATCACAGTTTCTGTTGTTCATATACGAATGTCTCGCATGGTTTTCCTTTCCTGTTGCTAAGCTGGATTGCTATTCAGGACCTGAAATGGAGTTACCGTTGTATGGATATTCAGTAGTTTCCTTACAATGGTTACTTAAGCTCCTGGAGACCGATGCGCTTTCGTGTTTGCAGCATTGGACAGGAATCCTTACGTAGCGCGTTGTGAACATGACTCATACGCAATCCCTAAAACCTAATCTTACTTAGCCAATGGACGAACTCTAACCTTCCATCTTAAGCTACCACCTGTCCCTACGTTGCCGTGGCCGGATTGCTTTCCTGATAGGTATCGTGTTTAATTCATTCTATAGTGGCGTACCCACGCGAGAACGCTGGGGTATGTCATCGACAAGGATTTGCTTTAACCTTTTTAGGCTTCCTTTTTTGGTCTCTATAATAAAGCTTAAGCTTTTTTAGCCCTGGTTTTTGGGGAAGAGAGTGTACGCAGGTTTCCCAAAATTAGGGGTACCCTTTTAAAGGGGGATATAGGGGTTGTAGGGTCATATAGGGTTTAGGGTTTAGGGCTTCCCAAAAATTAGGGATATCACCCCCGAATACCTAAACCCTAAAGCCTAAACCCCAAACCCTAAACCCTATATACCCTATAATGCCCTCAGCCATCAGGGTGGCGCTGTGTGGATCCCGGCTCTGTCGGCCATTGGCGCTGGTTTTGCCATTGGACTTGCCGCCATCGGCTCCGGTGTCGGACAGGCCTTGGGGCTGGGGGGCTTGCACATGGCCTATAGGGTTTCGGTGTTTAGGGTTTAGGGTTTAGAGACTGGGTTATACAGTTGCATTCTCCCAAAAACCCGCAGGGTTTTCCTGCGGGTTTTTAGGGTCGTTTTTTTAGCGAGGTCACCAGAAAGACGAGTAGAACATTTTACCACCCCAAGCAGGATACCTCTAAGTTCTCCGAGTTCCACTTATGACGGAACATGAGCCTGCAAATAAAATATGCCAACGAAGAATATCGAAAGCTACTCGGAAATGCTGATCTAATCCCTGCTTTGATTCGGGTCCACGCAGTGGTGGGCGTCATCTGTGTTGGGCGAGTGCCAAATCCAATGGGCTGACTGACAGCCAGAGCGTCGCAATGGATATGGGAGTTTTTAAAAATTATGTGTCCTCTTTTTGAGGGTGGTGGGTAGAACGAGGACTGCATTCTAGGGTGCTATGACGATACCGATGCTTTTTCACACTTGCTTAAGCAGCGTTCCGCATTGGTGGCCCGACTGGACGGACGGACTACGTTGGGTTCATACCATTACAAGTCAGCAGTTGTTTCCATCTCATCACCATGTTGGGTAAGGATAGATTGATGGCCTGTTCCCCCAAACCCATCTCTAACGAAGCCCAACATAATTCTGAACCCCAAGAACCCTAATAACCTGAACCCTAAACCTGAATCAAACCATGGCTTCGGCAAGGGTATTGCCAGCGGCCGCTGCATTGACGGCATCTCCCGGCAGCCGGAGGTACATAGAAGCGGAATTGCTTTGGTTCGGGTCTACGAGGCTACCCTGAAGGTCCAAGAATGAGAAAAATGGGCTCTAGATGTCAGAAACTGTGCAGATGTACAACAAATTTTAAACCCTAAGGAAAGAGGTTTCACCGCAGTTGTGCTTGCCTTCGTAGTGATAATTTGGGGGGAGTTGTGGACCGTACAAGAAGAATTCTCGAGGGAGTATGGGGTTCAGAGGCAAATTGGCAAACCGACTTGAAGAGTCAGGGGAGAGAGAGAGAGAGAGGACGTCTGAGGTGCTACCTAATACCTAGGCTGTTGTCAAGATTATGGTCCCTGTCACATCTTGGACCCAAAAAGGGAACATGATCTTGACAACCTACCTCATACTGCTGCTTGCAGCTTGTAGGAGCCTTCCTAATAGCGGCTCATCGCTCGTTGGGGGTCATTGTTGGAAAGTGCTTAGGGGTTTTCAATTTCAGGGCCACCCAACCCTGAAGCGTGTAATGTTTCTCAAAGCCCCCAATCTGGAACCGGGATGTGGGATCAACCTAGGACACGCCGTTGCCAGGGCCTTGCTTCTTCAAACACGCGCGCAAGCCCCACAATCTCTGTCACGAAAGCCAAGAGTTTTGGTGCAGCATTACCTGGTGTGCCCTCTTTTTTAGAGAGGTACTTAGACTTGATTTGAGGTCACTCCCCTCAAGCCCTAAACCCCTAAACCCTAAGCTCTTCTGCGCCCTGAGGTTCTTGAAGCCCTATAAACCTTTGAGCCCAAAGCCCATGAATTACCCGCTGCTGGCAACTCCAGGTGAGCTTGCCACGCTATAGCAACCCCAGGGTTGAGGGTCCAGGGTTTAGGATTTAGGGTTTCGGGCTTAGGGAAGTTTAGGGCTTAGGACCTCAATCCACAACTTCGGTTGAGGAAAAAACTGCCAAGTTCTTCGAATTTTAAGTTCTGAACGCCGTAGATGAACTAAAGCGTCCCGGTTGAGTTGTGGAAGCTGTGTTGGTTGACTGAGTAGGGAATCCACAGCTTCCCATTCAGGAATAGTCAGGGCTTTGGGGTTTGAGACTCTTGGTTTGGGGTTCAGGGTTTAGGATTTAGGGTCAGGATTTAGGGCTGAATTATTGGACAGCTTATTTTGCACTGCGCAAAAGCAAAAGTCACAGCATCATGAACCCCTTGCAGCCGTCTGTGGGAGGTTGCGGATGACCTCCGCGGCGTACTGTTGCTTGGAAAGAAATTCAGGACCTGAGGGCTAGGCAAGACGCAGGCTAGAACCAGCTATTATTTGACAGTCCACTGTTAGGACACGGATTACCCCTACGTTTCACAGCATGCCTACCTACCTGGTGGAGGTGTCAAGTCTCAAGGTTTCAGGCTCAGAGAGGGTCCTTGAATGTCTCAGTGACTCTTGAGGGTGAGCACTGGGGCCCCAACCCAACCTTATTCAGTAAATGACATTTACTCAAAGTAATCGGGTGCCCTGAGCGACCTTAGGCCTAAGGGATGTATGATGTATACATATCGATATTTGAGCACACACACATATGTGTATATATTGGGAGAGCGAGAGAGAGGAGAGAGAAGAGGTTCCCAAGCGATACAGGGGTCCCTCTTAAGCATAGGTGAGGGTAATTCTGAGAAAGTGCCACAAAGGCTCACTCTCAAGGACACTGGGAGTTTCATTTTTGCTTGAGGGAGGGCAACGCCTAAATCTAAGAACGGAACCACTGGTTCCTGATGCAGGCCCTTAGCCTGTTGGTTTTGGGCGCACACGTTCCTGAATCCCCACAAACCCCATACGTGCTCGCCCCTAAACCCTAAACTCTAAATCACCGAAATGAGCCTGAGGCCCTAAACCCTAAACCTGCCCCTCGGCCATTCATGTAGTCCACCCAGTGCTTCAACACTATCCACATATCAGTCCCTAATCCCTAAACCCAAAAACCGTAAACCCCAAACCCTCAAACCCCAAGCCTTGAGCCTAAACCCTAATCCCTAAACCCCTAAACTCTAGGCTCCTGTCCCTGGCCTTCATGGAGTCCCTGACCATTTACGGCCTGGTGATTGCCCTGGCACCGCCCTAAGTGCATCTTAAATCCTTCTTGGGCTACTGGGTTCAGGGTGTAGCCTCACTCATTTTACCAGTGCCAAAAATCCCGACACCCTGTTCAAATCTCTTGGGCCCCTGCATTGCCCTGGGTTTGGGGTTTATGATCGGGGCCTTTTCAGTGGAGTTTTCACCAGGATCATGCGAGATCTCTGAAGCAAGCACCTGTATGAATAGATTCAAGGGTTGGGTATTACAAGCCCTAAAGCCAAAACCCTAAACCCTGAGCCAATTGGGTTCCACATGGCAGGTGTTGCAGCATCAACATTAGAAGAAGTAATAACCAGAGCATTAGAACATTTGAGTTGATCTAAAGGTGATTTGGGAAAGCTGATTCGGATTTTTATAGGCATACATAAGGGAAACTATATTGGATCCTTTATGGCCATTTTTGGAATAGAGTTTTGATCAACCACCACATGGACTCCAAAGCACTATTGACTATTGATGCCTAGAGCAAGGGAAGCAGCCGTGCTCGCCATGTCACTTGCTGACCCGGAGCCCTGACTGGGTCACCGTCAAGTATTACTGTAACTTGGGTTTAGGTTCAGGGTTGGTTCTTAGTAGGGAACAAGGAAATTTATATAGGGATTATATAGGGAGGATACTCCAATATTTCCTACTAAGAACCAGTAAGATAACTCTTCCTCAAGTTCAAGCCTACTGAGCAAAAACAAGGTATGCTTCTGAATCACCAGCAGGAGAACCAGCCAAGCTCTAGACCGGAAGAGAAACCTAACTGACACCATATAGTATGAAAAAGAGGAGGAGAAGGAATGGCAGTCACAATGTAGACCCGGAGCCTGTTATTAGCCGCTACTCGAAAGAACCTTTAGGCACGGAAACGTGATTTAACATGTTTGACGCCCAGAGCCGCATTAGTAGTCGTGGTAGCCTCAATCAGAGCGTCGCCTTACCAGGTGCTCCTCTTCGCAAATCCGCTTATCAAGTGAGCAGGGCATCGACGATCTGGAGGAAGTTTTCCAAGGTTAGCTGTGTAGGTGCACTCCTCGGGCCATTAACTCCTTATCAGGTATGATGAGCATGAGAAAAGTGCCTAGATCATACACTTCCCAGAAGTGGTTCGCGGTGTGTTGCCAGTAAACCCCTAAACCCCAAACCCTAAACCCAACCCATGAAACAATCAATCCAGAACACTGAGAGCTGTGCCACTGGCCAGACCTCATGGCATCGAGGGATGCTGGTTCTGTCCTCTAACACCCACCCTGATATGGTAATTATGTAGGGTTGTATAGGGGTTATTATATAGGGGTTACATATGGGTTTTATAGTGGTTATAAAAAGTGGTTATATAGGGGCTTACAGGTTTGTATTTCTAGAATAGGGTAAGCACGAGTACGTTCGCACGATATTGCCATGGTAGGCTATAGGGTTTGGGCTTCTCTTCCAGGCCGAAATGGTAGTTTCCCAAATAGGGGGACCCCAATATAGACCCCAAGGAGGCACCCCTCATTTTGAAAAAAGTGCCACATATCCTGATCGTCAGTACGTCGGTTCCCTACCCGAGCCAGCTACTCACAGGTTCATTGTTTGTTGTGCCATATCCATACGTGTTTGCTGATTGCAGATTCCCACACATACATTCTATCAACCCCAGCATCCCTCAAAATGTTGGTTCTGTCTGATCAAAGCGGGAGAGGCTGACTCTGAGCTCGAGCTCAGGCAAAATCCGGGGGTCGCAAGCGTGGTTTCCCAAATGCTAGACTGTCCAAGAATCCTGACATAGGGGTGACGGTGAGCTGGACCCGGATTGAAGAGATTTTTCTCAAAAATGCGCTCCAAGCAATTTTGAGTCGATAATGCTATGTAAACCCTAAACCCTAGACCCTACCCTCTGTCGTCCTGTGGTGGTCTGGAATGCTCAGGCCGCTTGTGCTATCTTCAGATGCAGCGCTTGTGATTGTGTGGGAGTATGGAGATTTCCATAACTAGGGGTACCTTTGAAGGGTGGGGTTTTATTCGGGATATATAATATAGGGTTTAGGGCTTAGGGTGTAGGGTTTCCCAAAATCAGGGGCCTTCTTTGAGGCCCCTATACAAGGGATTTGTGGGTCTAAATTCGGTTCCCCTTGTTTTGGGGAACTATCCTATCATCCCGGCGCAATCCCCGCATGCACCTGCCATCCACTTCTAATCCCACTGCGAGCGACCAGCGCTTATCTTGGATCTGCATGCAGTTGACGTAGTCAGAATGCTGGGTTGGCGCAGGAGCACCCCCATTCCTTATGGGAGGCTAGTAGTTCTTGGGGCTCGGGGGTTGATTAGAGAAGTTGGGGTTTAGGGTTTAGGGCTGAACCCTAAGCTCTAAACCAAGAACCAGCACTACACCGTATGAGCTACTGTCAATATGAGGCTGTTTAAGGGACCCTTAGCAGTGGGCATAGGGGTCCCTGTTGTAGTTTAGTATAGTCCCTAATATATTCCCGAATAAAGAATCCATATCCATTAAGTATCTGGGAAATCCTGACTGCTCATATGTCCATGGACAGCGACCCTACAACTCCCTAAACCCTAAACCTTAAACCCTAGACCCTACAACCTGGGGCTCAAGCAAGCTCCAGATCGTCAGTGCGCCCGTCTGCGAGAAAGTAACCCACGATACCCGGCTGGACCCAGAGAGTACAATCTAAACTGAAACAAGTACTATGCGGCTAAGTGATACCAGGCTTCCTAGTAATGCTCGACAAGAAATCTGCATCAAATGATATTCCTATCCCTAATACCTTTTAGAAGTAATCCTTAATTAAGGTGTAATATCTGGATCAGGGGCTTGCCCTGGCGCACTAAGTAGGTAGGATTCGTGCGCCCGAGGGTTGGATTTTCAGGCCTACAGATCCTGCAAGTTTAGGGTTTATAGGGTTGAGGGTTGAGGCTCTGTTCATTCGGGCTTACTTACTACTGTGGGGGGGTCTGTTTGACCGATGCTTTATGACAGAGTTTCTGCTTTGCATGAAGACCTTAACCCCAAACTCCGAGCCTTAACTTAAACCCCAAACTCTCAAAACCCGAATTCAGCACAGGCACTGAGCATTAAGCCCCGACAGGACAATTGAATAGCTGCATATATTTTGTTAAACACTTACCTTCATGTTTAGCCCGTTTGGAGGCGTGGTTGGGAAAATTTCTACAGATAGCAGAAACAAGCCCCCAAAAGCACTACCAATGGAACAATGGAACCTCACATAGGCCCCTTGGATGAGGGCGAAAGCCTACCAGAGTCTATCAGTGGAGTCAGGAAATCTGGCGCTAATCAGGATCCCTTGACTAAGCCAATACTCAAATGCCCTAGGCCCTAAACCCTAAACCTCAACCTTCAGCTAGTCCCTGAATCTTTGAGCTACCTGAGCCTTGCGCCCTCAAAGCTCAAAACCCTTAACCTCCAAAACTCCCCCCCACCCCCCGCACCTACAATCCCGATGAATCACGCCTTGAAAGCCCAACTTCCATGTCATTGTTTTTACTTGCGTCTCCATATCAAAAATCCCGCAATGATGAGCCCTATGTCTTTAACCATCAGTTTGAATGTAATGTTCCGCGCGTTTGCAATTGCTTCTCCATTGCCCCCAAAGCCCAAACCCTGATGCCCTAAAACTGGCGATGGCGCCTTGCAGCAGGATGTAGGGGATGTTCCGGGACTGATCAACGCAACCTCCAAGGCTTCGAAGAACCATACGCAGATCATATTTATAGACTCCAGGGCCCAACGTGGGAATGGTTAACAGACTTCGTTCGTTTTCCATCTGATTTTCCATAATTGGGATCGCGCCCCTACATGCGTCTTTAAACGGACCTATGGTTTTCATTTCATTCTTCATGTTCTCTTTTCTGTTGAATCTTCCATTGTAGCCAACCCTAAACCCTGAGCCCTTATAAGCCCTAAACCCTAAACCCTTACAAAACCTACACCCTAAACCCTAAACCCTAAAGGTAATCTAAGCCTAGCCCAGGATGACTCGATCCCTGGTTTTGACCGGTGCCGTCCTTCTCTCCTGCGGTGCTTGCCCCAGTTGGCAGCTCCAACTGGTCACGGGTAGTTTAGGGCCATGGGGTTATGGGTTTTGGGGTTATGGGTTTACGAGAACATTGGTACATATTTAGGGCTCAGGGTTTTGACAACTGCTAGATCTTGAGGGATTATACCTGATGCTTTGTTGCTACGGATCCAAGGACGTGACCTTTTGCTTGGTGTATGACTTCCTCTTTCGGATACAACTAAGTACCCAACAAGAGTCTTTTCTCCAAGGTTGCCCGGGAAGCCAAATACCTGACCTGCGCAGTAACTCATTTTATGGATCCTATCGTCAATTAGGCTATACATGTCTTACTTGAGGTGTATGGGGATCTCTGGGAAACAGGGGCGAAAACGTGATTTGTTTTGGGGGCATGGGCGCCAGGGAGCGTTGATGTAACCACCTTCCCCTTAACAAACGTCCTCACCGCCCCCCTCCCCTAAAAATGGAACTACTCAGCTGGAACGGCAGCATATTGGACAGTGCAAGGTATGGGCAATAAGTATGGACTATAGGGCCTTGTCCTCATATTTAGTATTGACCCAACATGTACTCTCATGCGAGGCCCAGGCAAGCTAAGGGCTCATTCTAGTGGCTCACGTTTCCAACCTTAAAACGCCGAATATTTACAATACGTCAGGCCCAAACCTTTAATCTAGAACCGTTATCTTGAGGGGTCGTGGGATGGTAGATTACGAGGGCCTTCCCAACAGCTTTAGGGGTTTTAGTTACTTCGTCCAAGATGCCAGCCTTGTATACCCAACACTCCTGGACCTTGATGTCTCCCAAAGGGTCCACGTAGCTATATAGTAGAAACTTAAGGTCCCAAGGGGTTCCCGCATAATTACTTTAGGGCCCAAGTACATACGCTATAGCTACCCTGAACCCTACACCCTACTACACCCTATGCTATCGAGCTACATGGAACCTGTGGGTCCCTATAAAGGCGCACTCTTCACGGCCTTCGTCGCCGCGCCGCGCCCTGCCCCGACCCCGGTAGCGCCGCACGCCGCCACAGCTGCTCTGAGTCTCGTGGCGTAAGGGGTTCCCGAGTCATCGTAGAAACCAAGCTGTGCAAATATGTTACAGCCCAAGAAGGATTACACACGTCGAATCATAGCTTCATGTGTTTTTCTTCGTAGTTTTCCTTTGTACTAGTCGGCAATAATGTACCACGAGGCTGTCAAGGGACTTGCTCAAGGCAGTCGTTATCTGTATGCACTTAGGGTCCTGCAACATGACCTGGTTTCCTAAGCCCTAAACCCCTAAGATCCAGATAGCCGACGCAGGGAAGAACTCAGAAAGGCTAATAATTAGGTACTTGGGTTTTGGGTAATAGTAATTGTAGTACAGGGTTTGGACAAGTATAGAGTTATCGGGTACTTGGACCCTTAGGGCTAGGGATAGAACCCCAAACCATAAAACCCTAAAACCCTAAACCCTAAACCTTAAACCCTAGACCCTATTGGGTACTTGGACCCTTAGGTAAGCTGCCTCAGGTGCCGTGACTCTTGTGGCCCCTCAGGCTGCGCATGCCGAGGCAGCTCATCGCAAGGGGCCAACGCCTAAATGTCATTACCTAAACCCCCAAAATTATAGAAAAATCTCCTATGTCAGCTTTTTGGGGTTTGGGCCACTAATTTGAAACCCCCAAGATTGTAGAACAATCTCCTCTGTCGGCTTTATGGGCTTTGAGCCACTATGTTGCCTGCCTTTTGTGCCTGGGCATGTTGGATTCTACTTAGGAGTTCTTACAATATCAACAAACCCTAAACGTTAAACCCTAAACTGCGAACGCTCAATAGGGCCAAAGGGACTTCCAAAAAAGAGTTCACATGTTGTGTGAGAAATCCCAACCTGTGTAGGCTCCAAATAGACCGATGTAGATACTGTAGACTTTTGAGGCCAAAAGTAGGTATGACTTATAGACTTCAAAGCAAACCGAACTGCTCTTTTAGGCTAAAATTGTCTTCTTCTCCCTAGTCGATCATGTCTTGGATTCCATGTGAGTAGTATTTTTTTTGGGAGTATTATGGTACCCAATAAAGAGTAAGATTATATCCTCCCTTTGGGTACAGTATTTTATACATGGATTATAGTCTTACTAGCTTCACCAAAAAAGCTACTCATGTGGCAGGAGATTTAGAGTTGAGGGTTGCCAGTTCAAAGAGCACGGAAACAGGCCCAGCTATCCCACATTGGTGGGTCTTAAGCTATACTTGCTTGTTCGCTTTTGTCCCCCACCCCCTGTTAAGAATAACTACGTTGCATAAGGCACCTTATTCCAGTGGTGAGAAGAAGGCACGCAGTCAGCAGGGATGGATTTCCGCAGACAGAACCACCTGCAAGACAATAACCTCAGACCCATAAACAACCAATGTACCTACCTTTGTCGACTTTGGGGACCAATATGCGTACTAGTTCTAGACTTAGAGCTAAACCCTAAACCGTAAACAAGTATAGTCCCCCCTAAGTAGATAGAAGTATACTTTTCAACCCTAAACCCTAAACCCTACAAACTATCTCTTGTAAGCCCAGGGCTTGCTAAAGCCAGCTGCCACATCCAGATATCTCCTTAAGGGACCATGTACCCAATGATTGGTTCCCTTTAAAGGGATATGGGGGGGGCATGTGATATATATATATATACTTCAGGGTTTAGGGTTTGGGGCTTAGGGTCCATGTACCCTATAACTGGGTACTTCGGATGTTGGTACTACGGTGGATACTAAAATCCCGCATGACCCTAGGTACCTTATACGTTGGGAAGAATGGTACTGCAGTATATTAAGGTCATGCACGATGTTCAGCGTCAACAGTAGTAATTGCAGGATGGCTTGTGGGTAAGTATATGACTGTTGGGTACTTGGACACTTAGGGTCCGCATTCCGAAGCACAGGCCCTAGTAGCTTTAATGAGGGACCCTACATACGAACATGGTTCACATGGTGTTACGGGTCAACCCAGCTAGGCTTTTTGAAGCAGCTCCTCACAAGCCAAAACTCTACACCCTAAACCCAGAAGCAGGGTGGCGCTGTCTGGATCCCTGCGTTGTCCGCCATTGGCGCTGGTTTTGCCATCGGACTTGCCGCAATTGGCTCGGGCGTCGGCCAGGCGGTGTGAGACCTCAAAGTCCCAAACATCCCCAAAAGTGTAGCGTTTCGGGTTTATGCCCAAACCCCTTCCTAAGGAGTTACACAATAGTACCCCCCCCAAAGGTTTAAGGAGCTAAGAAGGACTATAGAGGCCTTAATAAGGCCTAATAGGGTTTTAAATTTGGGGGGGGGTACCGGGGCAGGAGTGTTATTATAATCCCTTACTAGCTCATGCAACAAAACCTGTCGCTGTGTGAGCTAATTGCTGCAGGGCATTGCCAGCGGCCGCTGCATTGACGGCATTTCCCGTCAGCCGGAGGCGCAACTTTTGCCAGGCTTCAAGGCAAGGGGTGTGTTTAGGGTTTAGGGTTTAGGGGGGGGGGGTTGGGTTTAGGTTAGGTCAATCCCCCCTATAGTAATACTGTGGATGGAGGAAATCTTGCACCGCTTTTACAACGTAGATTTCTTACAGCCCCGTACCCCCTTTT